AGACGGGCAGCGCGGATCCAAGGGATCAAAACAGCAGGGACCTCCCCCTTGCTGCGCAGGGGAAAGACCGTGGTGTAACGCGTGTAGTCGTCAACAACCAGCAGGAAGTACCGCTCGTGGCCCTGTCCACGGACGCGGGCTGGGCCCCACACGTCCAGGTGGAGAGTCTGCAGGGGAGCCTCTGTGGGAGGGAACGAGGAGGAGTGAGGAGCGGCGCGCTGCCACCCCTCGACGCAAGGAATGCAGGGCGGCGCAAGCGAGGGAGGCAGGGCAGGCAAAGACCTGGGCAGACCAGAAACCAGGAAGCGAGAGTGCATGCCACGAAGGCGCTGCACCGAGGGGTGACCAAGGCGGTGGTGCCACAGGAGGGTCTGGTGCGACAAAGCGCGACACTCGCAGGGGGCCGTCGGCTGACCGGACGCAGACGCAGACGCAGCTACCTGAGGGGACACAGTGGTCAGTGTGTACAGACTCGAGCCAGGCGCACGGGAAAACGTGGCCAGGTGTCGGCCGGTCCGAGCACACGTACAGTGAGTCACCCGCTGACTCGCAGGAGTGAACTGGTGCACCCCCTGATCCTGGAGGTCAGCTCCACTCACCAAGTTCGTAGAGAACGAGGGGAGGTAAAGACCTGACAGCAAGCCAGACGGGGCGGCCGGACACGGCAGAACCGTGGAGTAGTGGGCAAGGACTGGACCCCCAGAGGGGTCCGCCAGGGAGACTGCAACCGGCCGACTAAGCGGCGTGAGTGTGGTGCAGTCGCGAAAGAAGGAGCGGGAAGCACCTGAGTCAAGCGTGAAGGTGTACAAGGCCGCAGCAGGCGCAGAACTAGAGAGAGCAGACCCACCAGCACCTGGAGCAGGAGACGTACCGGCACCTAGAGCAGCAGCCTCACCAGCACCCAGAGGAGGAGACGCACGAGCACCTAGGGCAGCAGCCTCACCAGTACCGGGAGCAGCAGGTGCTATACCAGGGTCAGGCGGGACGCACAGGGAACAGGCACGGTCAACACTAGTAGGCAATGCATACATGGCAGTGAGAATAGCATCATAGTCAGGAGCAAAGATATCTACCCTCTGTCCAAGCAGCTCCAGCCAGTCGGGGAGCTCAGCCTCGTCGCCAAACACTGTACGCCAGTCGTCGCTCAGACGGGCGAAGCAGCGGGACTGTGTGTGACCAAGCGTCCCGCAAGGCTGACCAGTCCTATCACCTGTGCGAATGACGTACGGGCAGCGAACTGTACGCGTAGACCTGCTACACTGAGCGTACCACTCGTGGAGCTGCCGGGACGTAAGTGTCTCGCGTGGACGCCGCTGCAGCTGCAGCTGGCCACTGCTAGAGGCCCCCAACTGACCAGCTCCAGGGCGACAGCTACGACGGCTACCGCGACAGCCCCAACTAGTATACCACTCACTAAGCTGCTGGGGCGTGAGAGACTCGCGTGAGCGTTGCTGGAGCTGCATCTGGTCCCTTGCTAAGAGCTAGCAGCAGCAGCAGCTCGGGCAGGGCAGGCGCGGCAGGCCGGCAGACAGGCAGGCCGGCAGGCAGGCAGGCAGGCAGGTAGGCAGGCAGGCTGACAGGCAGACAGGCCGGCAGGCAGGCAGGCAGGCTGACAGGCAGGCAGGCAGGCCAGCAGGTAGGCAGGCAAGCCGACAGGCAGACAGGCCGGCAGGCAGGCAGGCAGGCAGGCAGGCTGGCAGGCAGGCAGGCAGGCAGGCAGGCCAGCAGGCAGGCAGGCAGACTGGTAGGCAAAAAGACAGGCAGGCAGGCCGAAAGGCAGGCAGGCAGGCAGGTGCTCACCAAAGGCTGGAAGGGCAGGTGCTCGCCGGGCGAGCAGGGCCGAGTAGGCGCACGACTGCAGCAGCGATGGGGCCGTAGTAGCGACTGTAGTGTAGGGCCGCAGCAACTGCAGGGTGGGGGTCGCTTCAGCGGCAGTCGCAGAGTGGGGGCCGCATCAGCGGCAGGTCGGGGCCTCGGCAGCAGCAGCGAGGGGCCGCAGCAGCGGAAGGTCGGGGCCGATGCAGCTGCAGGCTATGCAGGGCAGCGCGCGGGGCTGCTGTGGGCCGAGCGCGGGCTGCGGGAGGCAGAAACAGGCCGCGCGCGGCTCGGCAGGGGCTGCGCGCAGCAGCAGCAGGCCGCGCGCGGCTCGGCAGGGGCTGCGCGCGGCTCGGGGGGGATCGCGCGCGGCAGCAGCGGGCTGCGCGCGGCTCGGCGGGGCCGCACGCAGCAGAAAACGGGCTGCGCGCGGCTCGACGGGGCTGCGCGCGGCTCGACGGGGCTGCGCGCAGCAGAAAACGGGCTGTGCACGGCTCGACGGGGCTGCGCGCGGCTCGACGGGGCTGCGCGCGGCTCGGCGGGGTCTGCGCGCGGCAGATCCGGGCTGCGCGCGGCTCGACGGGGCTGCACGCGGTTCGACGGGGCTGCACGCGGCTCGCTGGGGGCTGTGCGCTGCGCTGACGGCGTGTGAGGGGCAGCAGAGCGGCGCGAGCAGCGAGGGCGACGCTTGAGGCAGCAGCGGGCAGCGTGCGTGACTTAGGTCTGCGCGGTAGCAGCAGCAGACAACACAGTAGGCAGCAGGCAGTAGGCTACAGGCAGACGGCGCGCGCAGCGCAGCACGTCACAGGCACAGGCGTGGGGTAGCGGTAGGTGGGCCCGAAAAAAAACGGCCCCTACGGACCTACTGCTCTGAAACCATGTTAGAATCTAGAGACAGGAATGAATGCATTGATCAAGAGTTGGGTACATAAGCTAACCCTAACATTGGGTTGTACCCTTTATGGGCTACCCCACTAGCAGCCTACACAAACACAATATGCATAGTTTGACAGTACGGGCCGCGCGCGGGTCCCAGGGGCGCTTCGAAGAGTGACGGGGGGCGACGCGCAGGTCCCCGGGGGTGCTTCGACGGACGACGGGGGGCGACGCGCTGGTCGACGGGGCAGGAAACCGCTGCGCGCCTTGGGGCGCACGGCGGGCAGAAAACCGCCGCGCGCCCCGAGCGCGCGGCGGGCAGAAAAAAAAAAAAAACGTCTCGCGACAGACAGGACAGCAGCGGAAGCTAACGGTGGGCCCACAGGCCAGGAGCGTAACCGCTCTGATAGCATGTCAAAGATAGCAGGTAGAAAGATAGAACACGAAAGAGGGGTTTGCACTAGCAGACAGTTGAAAACATTTAGGAAACCCTAAATTGGGCTGTACTCGCTATAGAGTACCCCACTACAGGCTAGACAAATACAACATTCTGACACTAAGATACAAAAGTGTTAGCGTTCAGTTTTTTTATAGCCAGCGCGGATCACGTCGTCCACCATGCTTAACTCCGGGACCGTATTTGCTGCGTGACGGGAGATGTAACCAATCCAGACAATCATGTGGCTTCAATCGGTTTCAACTATTCACAATTAGTAACAAATAGCACTTGTGACATGAATTTGTTGAGACGCCTCACCTTTCGAATGCATCCTTAATGAAGTCATGGCAATACACACCTGTAATGACTATTTGCATTAGAGTTGTTTTTGTAAGTTGGTAAAAGTTCTAACACGCAACAATAGTGTACCAATTTCGATTCGGCGGAACACCAAGGGATGAAGGTGCGTGGGCAAGACAGCCAACAGCCAGCCACACTTTCCGTTTTGCTAGAAATCCGTCAGCGGAATAGACTGTTGAGCTAGTCAACCAATCAGCTGTAAGAGAAAGGAAACTGCTGCTCGAATATGAACAACGGACGCAACTGGTGAAGTCAGGACGGATGGGACTTTCCAGTCAGACTTTGACTGGCATTCGGCGTAGATGCTTTTGAACCGATCTATTACCTGCTAATGCTAATAAAGACCGAGAGCAGTGTTTTCTCTTGAATACGGGACGCAGCCCCAGCAAAGCCTATCCACCAATCAAAACAACCATATCATCGTCAGAGAACAGTAATCCCCAACTAACTGCTCTTGCTTGCTTGACCCAGCTTGCACATCGACCGAGCTAAACCCAGGGAAATCGTAACGGAACATAGGAAGCCGTTTTGAACCAGCAGTCACCCAAACCAAATCCTATTAACACCAGATTATAGGTTTCTCGCTGCAGCAGGAAGCTTGACAAGACATTCGCACAGCAGCAAGGCAGGCAATCGGCGCTTTCCAGTGAAAATTTCAGCAAAAGAAACGGCAAGCGCAGGCCGTCGATTTCTCTATGGATACGGCTATCGGTTTCGTCTGCGGCTTTCCGAGTTCTTGCCACCATTGCCGGCCATTACGTGATCAGCGTTGTCGGCGAGCTGAACGGCCCCTTTCCTGTCCCTTACCTCGGCGAGCTAGCAGCATAGCACCCTCTTGCTTGCCTGCAGTAACAGCCGCTTAAAGGGTGTTAAAAGTACTGCACCAGCTCGACGTCGAAGTATGTCGGTGAATCCTGACGGTTGGAACCGTAGATCCGAGGGTTGACATTCACCGACATCTCTCGACGTCGAGGGATGCAGTACTTTGAACACGCTTTTACATTTGTGCTGGACAGTTCACCATCAGGGGCGTTGACTGTCCGTTCTGACAAACGGCTAGTGCTGCGGGAAGTGAGGACCCATGAGCTGTACAGTATGATCATGACTCGTGCCAACAGTAAAGTTCCCGTTCAAGTGTGCGTTTCCTCACCGTTTCTACCCCCTCACATAATTCTCAGACTCACGCATCGCGCTGCCCGAAGGACCCAACTAACAGCCTGCGAGCCCCATTGTTCTCTGAGTAATATCTTTCCAGAGAGTGGAAACCCCCCTGCTCCGGAACCTCGACTGAATCGCCGATTCTTGCCCCGCATCGGCCTCCGAAGCGCTGTCAACAACGCTCAGTTAGGATCTCACCCACTCTGACAACCTCTCTTTCTAAGGCTCGCTGTCGACGCAAGCTACTAAGTTAGTGTTTCGTTGGTCAATATACGTACCAGAACCGGCCGGATCCAAATAGAACCCGGAAGGTTGACTCGCAACGGGAGCCTAGGAATTCCGCTTACGAGCGATGGCGCCGCCGTTTCTCTCCGAAACAAAGAAGCTCGATACTCTCTACAGCGTGGGCGAGGAGCGCACGGTTGTACTCGCTATAGACACTTGCAAGTCGTGCCTTTCCGCGTTCGACTCCCTCGCCGCCTCCTGCCACAAAACGCAATCTTTCCTCTCCGCGAATTCCGCTTCTTCTGCGGACTTTCAACTCAAACCCACGGACCGCCTTGTGGTGGTGTTCCACCATGCCAACCACACGCCCATTAGCATCATGACACGCGGCGCGGGAAAGCTTCGCGAAGGGTTTGACGACAAATCGAGCGACAGCCAATCGGAAAACAGCCCCGCGTCGCCGTCAACCCCAAGGTCCATCTTATCTGCGCTCCTGAGCCCTCTAGGAGCGGGAGGTTCAAAGCTCCGACCGAACTCCGCGTCCGGCGCCGACGACGGCGGGGACGACAGCGTCGCGCCGCCCAGGCTAAGTAAGCGTCATGTTTTAACTTCTTCCAGATCATCGTTAACGCCCTTCCAGCCATCCTCTTCTCGCCTCGTCCTAACATCGCTCGCTTCAACCTTTTCTCTCCTGCCCTTTCTCCCAGACCTTCCACGCCATCAGCTGTGGCGGCCGCAGCTGAACCCTTCAAATGTGGTGCGGCAGATGCAGGAGGCGGGGCGCGCGGACGCGGCGCCGGTGGTGGTGATGGCGCTGATGGCGGAGCGGGAGGTGCGGCGCGCATTGGCGGAGAGGACGGCGTGGGATAGGCGCACCAAGCGCGCGGTCATGCGCATGGCGGCTGTTGCGCGCGCGTGCAAGGTGAGGGCGCTGAGGGAAAAGACGCCCCGCTACCCGCTGGGTCAAAACGGGGGTTATTCAGAGGCGCAGCGGTAGCATCATATTAGCCCTTTCGTGGGGCGTTTTAGGTAGGATCGTGCAAGGTGATGGCGATGGGGCTTTTATCGTCCAGACGCCTCCAAATCCGCGCGTAGGGGGTGTGCAAGGTGAGGGACGTGCAAGGTGATGGTGATGGGGATTGCAAGCTGCAAGCCAATGCAAGGTGCGAGAGATTAGGTGCAGGCAGTGCACGGTGGCACAAATTCTGAAGGGTCTACCTTGTGGCACGTTTTCTCCGTGCCTGCTCTCCAACTCTGTGATGCCTGATTTCCAAATCTCCTCCTCTCGCCCTTCCCGCCTCCTTCCTTTTCTTTCCATGTCCCCTGTTCTAACTCAACGTCACGTGGCCTTTTGCAGATTCGCTTCGAGGTTATCGACCTCTCAGACATCGCAGGAGAGCCCGACAGCAGCAAAAAGCGAGACACGAATCCCGTCCTATCCATGCATTCGCCGCCCTCGGCATGTCCGAGAAAAACCTGCGAAAAGTCACCGCCGTCGCAGGCACTGTCTTGGGAGGCCAAGGCAGATGCGGTGATCCGGTTCTGTCTGCATATCAACGCAGAGCTGCTGCTGCTCCCCTCCTCCCATGCGTGTAAAGCGCTCAACTTCTCTGGCAAATTCGCTACCCATAATTTCACGATTCGCTGTACGCGAGATGCACCCTGTCCGTTGATCAAGCTTGGAGCTGATTCAGGTGGCGACGGGAAGGATGGGCGAAGGAGTTGCAAGAGTTTGGGGTCGGTATCAGAGAAGGACTATGAACTGCCTAGAAGCGCTACGCTGGAGGACCTTGTGTGACCAACAAAATACCTGTACATTAATATGTTGTGCCTCCATGAGTCGTTTCCATGTACGGAGGGGCATACAACCACTGGGGGTGAGGGGGTGGGGGAGGAGTGGGGAGGAGAGGGGCGGGTGGGTGTCATGTCTCTACCATGTATCTTGGTTTACATACGCTCAGCTCAGCATTATCCCACCCCTGTGCTGCGCCCCCTTCAGTGTAAAATATGGTGTGGTACCGTACATCCTGAGTGTTACTGCTACAGCAGGGCTCTTGCTAGGATTCAGGGCGTATCCATGTTCGGGTCATGAGCACTGTTCTGGGTATGCGCGATTTGCGGATGACCCAAACAACATAAAACGCTACTTTGGGTTCTCGGAACTCATGCGACCCCCAAATTGTCGCGAGGGTTTTCGCGCCAAAATCACGCTCCCCACAACTGTCAAACTATAATAATAGTTATGCTATGTAGGCTGTTGTCAGAATGTGATGGTTGTCTAGCCTGCAATGGGGTACTCTATAGCGAGTACAACTCTTCTAGGGTTTGCTATATGTATCCCTATGCTTGTTAGTGAAAACCCTTCTTGCCTGTTTCTTCATTCTGCCTAGTATTTTGACATGGTATCAGAACAGGTCGACCCTCCTGGGTCGATCCTGTAGGTGGTGTCAGAATCCCAGTCACTAACCACTGGGATAAAAGGGCTTGTTTGTGTAGCGGGTGAGTGCGCCCATAACCCCCCAGGCCGCCATGCCTGTAACCCTTCCCTAGGATCAATCGAGGATCACCAGTGGACCTCTGACACCCCCCCGCACTGGGATGCCCGAGGTGCACACACCGGGATTCGAACTCGAGACCTTCGCTCTGATACCATGTCAGAATCCCAGTCACTAACCACTGGGATAAAAGGGCTTGTTTGTGTAGCGGGTGAGTGCGCCCATAACCCCCCAGGCCGCCATGCCTGTAACCCTTCCCTAGGATCAATCGGAGATCACCAGTGGACCTTTGACAGGTGGTCCCACCCGTTAGCTTCCGCTGCTACTCTGCGTGTCGCGCGCCCCGTGGTGCACGGCGGATTTTTTCTTCCCGCCGTGCGCCCCGAGGCGCGCGGCGGTTTTCTCCCGTCGAATCGCCCCCCCCCCGGTCGCTCGTCGCGTCGCCTCGCGAAGCCGCGCGCTGCCCCCCGCTGTCTCGTCGCGACACTCTGGGGAGCCGCGCGCGGCCCCCGCTACCCCGTCGCGACGCCCTGGGGAGCCGCGCGCGACCCTTCTACCTCGTCGCGACGCCCTGGGAAGCCGCGCGCGACCCCGCTGCTTCGTCGCGGCGCCCTGGGGAGCCGCGCGCGGCTGCCCTGCTGCCCCGCCGAGGTGCCCTGGGGGGCCGCAAGCCCTCCCCCTGGCTGCTGCCCGCGCACCTCCCCCCCCCCCCCCCCCCCGCTGCTGCCTGTGTTAGGGTTTGGGGGTGGCGGGTGTGGGGGTGGTGGGTATGGGGGTGACGGGTGAGTGCGCCATCCCCTGCTCCTCCTCCTCCTCCGTCTCCCACTACTGCAGCTGCCGCTGAGGGGGGTGGATGTGTTGGAGCCGTCAGGAGGGGGGTGGCGTGTGAGCGTTGCTAGTGGTTCAACAGGGGGTGTGTGATAGGGGTGTGGGACAGTTGGGGGAGGTTGACAGGAGGTAGCCGGTGTGACGTCTGCAGCGCCAGTAGCCCGGGGGTTGAGTACTCCGGTAGCCCAGCGAGCCTGCTGCGCCAGTCGCCCGTGGGTCCGTTGCTCCTGCAGCTTAGTGCGGAGCCAGTTACTCCTGTAGTCCGGAGGTTGAGTGCTCCGGTAGCCACTGTGCGCGCCGTTCCTGTTGCCCGAGTGTCTGTCGCCGTGTAGTCCGGGGCTCTGCGCCTGGTAGCGACAGTGCTGCGCGCTTCTGTTGCGCGTGTGTCTGCAGCTTCAGCCGTTGCCTCCCATCTTCTTGCTCCCACAGTTTCTCCTCCTCCTCACTTGCCCTCTATGATAGCCTCTAGCTTTGCTTGTATTTGTGAACCTACTGCTCTGCCTGCTTGTTGTGTTGATTGTACCCCACTTTGACTATGGGGGTGTGTCAGAATGTGATGGTTGTCTAGCCTGCAGTGGGGTACTCTATAGCGAGTACAGCCCTTCTAGGGTTTGCTATATGTATCCCTATGCTTGTTAGTGAAAACCCTTCTTGCCTGTTTCTTCTTTCTGCCTAGTATTTTGACAGTTGTAGTGGGGTAGCCTCTAAAGGGTACAACCCATCTAGGGTTTCCCATATTTGTATCACCATTCTTGTTAGTTCACTCATTCTTAGCCTAGACTTCAACATGGTATTAAGAGCAGTAGGTCCTTAGGACCGATTTTCTTAGGGCCCACCAGTTACCGCGCTACCCCACGCCCTACCCTGCCCTGTACCGCCCACACGCGCCGCCCCTGCAGCAGTCCTGCGCGCCGCTCCTGCAGTCCCGCGCGCAACCACCTGTAGCCCGCGCGTCGCCTATTCGCCGCCCGCGTGCCGCCTTCCCCCCGCGCGCGGCCCATTGCAGCCCCGCGCACCGCGCCAGCAGCCTGCGCTCCGCCCTCGCCGCCCGTGCGCTGCCCCTGCAGCCGTCGCGCTGCCGTCTGCAGCCCCTTGCGAACCCCCTGCAGCCTCGCGCGAACCCCATGCAGCCGTCGCGCTGCTTCTGCCCCAACCCGCGCGCAGCCCCTTGCAGCCCGCGCCCTGCCCCAGCAGCCCTCGCGCTGCCTCTGCCCCACCCCGCGCGCAGCCCCTTGCAGCCCGCGCCCTGCCCCGCGCTGCCTCTGCCCCACCCCGCGTGCAACCCATTGCAGCCCGCGCCCTGCACCAGCAGCCCTCGCGCTGCCTCTGCCCTACCCCGCGCGCCGCCCTTGCCGCCCGCGCCCGGCCTCTACAGCCCTCGCGGTGCCTCTGCTCTGCCTCGCGCAACTCCCTTGCAGCCTGCGCACTGCCCTTGCAGCCTCGCGCGCCGCCCTTACTGCCCTGCTACTGCGCTGCTAAACTATGGCCAATCTGCGAATTCTCACATTCGATCCTGACGGCCGCCCGCTCAAATTCGAAACCTGGCTTCAGAACCTGAAGCTGTACTTGCTGAGCGACGCTAGGGATAGTATTTCGCTCTATGACCTAGCGACTGGTGCCTCCACTGCCCCACCAGACTCAGCTGACGCGACGACTCGCTCGCAGTGGCTTACCCGTGACGCTGCTGCTCGCCTAGCCATTCGCAATCATTTGCCGGTAGGTGAATGCGAGCATTTTGACCAGGCGAAAACTGCTAAGGCCCTGTACGACGCTGTAGTTGCTCGATACTACTCTTCTCCTGCCACTGCAGCGCTTAGCCGCCTCTTCCTGCCCTACCTTTTCCCTGACCTGTCCTCCTTCGCCACTGTAGACGATCTCATCTCCCACCTTCGCGCTCTCGACACTCATTACCGTGCTGCCCTCCCTGCCGAGTTTCTGCCCAAGAACGAGCCCCCGATCTATATCACTCTCCACTTTATAGTGACCCGCCTCCCTGACTCTCTTAGTGCAGTCCGGGACACCCTTCTCGCTCTCCCCCCCACAAACCTCACTATCGACCTGCTAGGGAAGCACCTTCTTGCAGCTGAGGCTAACATAGTCGCTGTAGGTGCTACCCGTGGCACCCCTCGCACGCCCTTCTTTGAGGGGTGCTCCCCCTCCCCCCTCGCCCCCTCTGTTGCCTCTGCCGCTGCTGTCGACTTCCTTGGTGCTGAGGAGGTCGGTGCTGCTTCTGCTCCTAGTGGGAAGCGCCGCAGCGGCTAGGGAAAGGGAGGCAAGGGTGGTGGGGGTGGCGGCGGGGGGGGGTGGTAGTGGAGGTGGTTGGGGTGGCGGAGGTGGTGGAGGTGGCGGTTGGAGTGGTGGAGCGAGTGGAGGCGTCGGAGGCGGAGGTGGCGGCGGCGGGGGTGGTTGTAGCGGTGGTTGTGGTGGCAGTGGGAGCAGTGGTGGCGGGAGTGGCAGCGGCGGGAGTGGTGGCAGCGGCGGCGGTAGTAATCGCTCTGGCGCAGTTCAGCGGCAGCAGCAGCAGCAGCAGCGGTGAGCCCCTCTCGCCCCAGCAACTTCGTGAGTGGCTTGCTCAGCGTACGGCGCCTACGGGTGGTGGTAGTGGTCGCTGCTCGTACGTTATTCGCACAGGTCCCTGCGCCGGTCAAACGTGCGGGAAGTTTCACACCCAGCACCGCTGTTTCTCCTGCGTAGACGACGCTTGGCATCAGGAGATGGGCGACGAGCATGAGCTGCCCCGCTGGGCAGAGCTGCTTCAGTCTGGTGTTGACATCTTTGCTCTTGACTTTGATGCTATCATTGCTGGAATGTATGCTCTGTCTACTAGTGTTGAGGGTGACTGTTACTTGTGTGCGCCGTATGACCCTGGTATAGAGGCTGCTGCTCTAGGTGCTAGTGAGTCTGCTCTCTCTGGTACTGCGCCTGCTGAGGCCTCGCACACCTTCACGCTTGACTCAGGTGCTTCTCGCTGCTTCTTTCGTGACGGTACCACAGTCACACCAGTCATCAGACCTGTCGCAGTTTCCCTGGCTGACCCCTCTGGGGGCCCAGTTCTTGCACACTCCTCTACTGTACTCCCGTGCCCGGCCGTTCCGTCTGGTTCCTTGTCCGGTGTCCACCCCCCCTCGTTCTCGACGAACTTGGTGAGCAACGCAGTCCTCCAGGATGCAGGGGTTGATACCTTTACACCTGGATGGCAGCGTGTGGCGATCTGTACGTGCTCTCAAACTATTCGTCACCTGGCCACGTTCATTCGTCGGCCGGGGTCGTGTCTGTGCGTCTGCTCAGGTGTCCCCGTCAGGTCCGGTAGCAGCCCCCTGTGAGTGTCGCCGCCTGTCGCACCAGACTCTCCTTTGGCACCACCGCCTTGGTCACCCCTCCCTGCCACGCCTTCGTGGCATGCACTCTCGCCTTCTTGTCTCTAGTCTTCCCAAGTCTCTGCCTTCCCTCCCACCCTCGCCTGCCCCGCCCTGCA